CCATGATAACAATACTATATACTAGAATAAAGAAGAACTACTAAATTAAAAAACACGACAACAATAGCAGTATACTGAAATACAGAGGATATTCTAGGTTAAACCATGATAACAATACTATATACTAGAATAAAGAAGAACTACTAAATTAAAAAACACGACAACAATAGCGGTATACTGAAATACAGAAGATATTCTAGGTTAAACCATGATAACAATACTATATACTAGAATAAAGAAGAACTACTAAATTAAAAAACACGGCAACAACAGCGATATACTAAAATACAGAAGATATTCTAGGTTAAACCATGATAACGATACTATATACTGGAATAAAGACGAACTACTAAATTAAAAAAAATAATAAAACGACGCAAGGAAACAAATAACTACTTAGTTGAGAAAAATCACATCAATAAGACGACGTAAGTAAAAGATAAGATCTACTAACTTAAAAAACATGACAAAACAACAAGATTGACTGACATATTGAAACAGAAAGAAATTCAGCAAATTTGAGAGATGACGATCAAACTCGAATCTTTTCTGGGATAGAAGTGAGTCTTAATCACATTCAAATCAGCTTACTCCAAGATACAGAAAATAGTACTTGCCACATTCTTTCTAAATAAATAGTATATAATGGTTTAACTCGCGAAACTGAGACGAGATACACATTGGACTAAACGTCTACACTGGTTATAAGATATAATCATGACAAATATTAACGAATGGACTAAGGTAGCAAAATATGAAGACCTGGCAAGAAAATCACAGAACAGACAGAAGTGGCGGATTGTGACAGCCAACCTTCCTGAGGAAGACGGCACATGATGATCATTGGAGGCTAAACAAAGTAAATCTGATAATTGTAAAATCAAAGGGTACATTTCCTATCAGATTCTTTCAGACATTATCTTGAAATGATAAAACATGTCCTCTCGCAGTACTTCTAGCTACGAAAGATATTTTGAATCTCATGCTTATATTTCTATCATAATGTATTCGAGCCTACCGAAAATGAAAAAATATAACTTTTTTTTTTTAGTTTATAGTTTTTTCTAACAAATCGAAAGCAACTTTGTTCTTGAAACTTAGTATACGTACGAAATCGTTTGAAAGAGCAATAGGGAAAAAAGTAAAAAGAAACGCTTTAATTTTACAGGATATTGTATAGAAGGTTATCTTTTTGGAATGTACCCAAGTCATTATAAATAACAATACCTTTTCTAGTACGACAATCCTCTGATTCAGTTCCTGGTAATTTTGTACAAACTTCTGGTATTCAGGAACAGTGTGAAGATTCACTAAATACACAAAATTTTTCTCCTGAGACATTTTAGAAAGAAGTGATATTTGAAACGAAATATTTCGGGAAAAACAAATTTGAAAATGACTCTTTTTATAATAGTTTTGAAAGAAACATGAATGATTTAACAGTAATTTAATATTAGTACAATTAGTTTATTTAAATCTAGCTAGCTAAATCCTTGAATTATCAACCTATTTTTATCTGGTTTGTTTGAAGTTAAGCACAAAGCTACACAATGGGCTATCTGTGCTATGCCCACCACGGGTATCGAAACCCGGCTTCTAGCGTTGTAAGTCCGCAGACATACCGCTGTGCCACTGGGGGCCTTGTTTTTATACCATTTACTATTGGTGGAGCCCATAGTTGCATCATAACAAAATCGTGAACCCGCAATAAATTTGGTGCATAAATAGTTTAGAAAAATAAAATGTAATTCTAGCAATAATGACCAACTGTATTTTATCAGTGTAATACAAAAATATTTCAACTGATATTTATTCAAAAGCAATTAACTCGAATAAACCTAAGTTAACAGGGCGTCATCGTCTATCTGTAAATACTCTATTTTCACGATAAATTTTATTCAGGGAAATAGATATTGCCATCTGTCTATGTTTGTCTATGAAATAGTTTATCTACATATTTTGTGATGCTAATTCAAATAGTACAGCTTTCCAGTGTAAAGGAATGGAAATCATAAAAAATTGATCTTATTACATGTTTTACGTTAGACATTTTAAATAAATGTTGTTGCATTTTTTGTAAGATTTTACATTAAGTTTTGAGTGATATTTCACAAAGCATTCGAGTGATTTCTTTAAAGGAAACAAAGAAACATTTTACTTTTGCAGGATTTTCCGTCCATCTGTAAGATAAATCCATCGTGACATTCGCAGCTGTAACTGCCAAGAGTGTTAATACACTTGTGTTCACATGTTCTGTTTTGTTTCAAACACTCGTTCTCATCTATATGAAAACAGAGAAGGAACCAAAAATCTATACAAATATAAAACATTTAAACTCTCACACACATAATTCGCTGTTTTTAATAATAAATGCGTCCAGACATATACTGGTGGTAATTCTTTAAAGACAACCTAAAGCTCTACAAATATTGCGATATACAATAACACTCCATAATGATAATTAGGACTTGATATTTATGCGACACACCTATTATTAAACCTAAATGTCATTATACAACTCGGATACACATTTAATTAAGTGTATTTTAGTTATATTACAGAAAGTTACATATCAGCAGACGTTAACTCCCGAGGAAAACCATTAAACAAACTAAAACAATACTCACATAACACTCATAACTTTAAACGTTATTTATAATAAGTTTGCCATGACAGCCTCATTTCTTTGTTTTTTATATTACACACAAAATTATAAACCTATAATAGTATATAATCAGTAGTAATTTCAAACACAAAGTGCTAATATAATACCTTGATTTTTTTCTCTACTCAGAGGTGTGTGTATTATTTAAGTCATTTACAATTTCGATAATACCTGGGAGATTATGATAACTGAGAGAAAAAAGAGACAGTAAGAAAGAAATAATGTTACTGCATTTGTTTGGACTGGGATTTCATGTTTTTTTTAAGTTTCAAAATATACATTAAACACGCGCGTATCCCTGTGAAGTATTGGTAATGCATATACGAGCTTATAAAATGTACCGTAAACACACTCGCATCCCAGTAAAGTATTGGTAATGCATATACGAGTTTATAAAATGTACAGTAAACACACTCGCTTCCCTGTGAAGTATTGATAATGTAGATAGGCGATGTCCTAACGATGTTCGAAATATATAAAGGATAGACTTCGTCAATCCAGTATCTAATTACTGTAAGAGTCTAAGACGTCATGAACTCCATTTTAAACAGATGGAAATTAGATTTCTCAACCTGAATTCACAGGCACTTCATGCGTACTCGGGCAAAACGACCAGGTCATTAGAGACCTCTGGGATGCAAATATAGCTGTCTCTAATTTGGAACTAATGAACGGAGGAAAAGTAGCCAGACCGAGCACTCCGCCACAAGAGATTTTTACGGCTCTTTGAACCGATTAAAAGGATCAACTGTCATTTTTGTAAGGCATTTGTGGCTGCAAGTTCAGAGCAAATTCAAAGTCATCTCATTTTGAGCGCCGGATATTGTAATCCGCAGCCCGACAAGGTCCACACCCAGCCCATTAAATGAAAGTATCGCAATGTTTTGTTAAGATTGTTTTATGAACGATTTTGACCAATGACCACGTTACTAAATGTAATAAAATGTGAAGGTATAGAATATTTGCTTAAGAATTTAAAACATCTGTAAAGTTTGAATAAGTTGTGTAGCAAAATACTACCGTATATATCTAACGGACTGTTTAAAAACATTTCGTTTTCACAACTTACTCTCAAATTTATAACGCAGCATTAATCGACGAATTTAATTGTTTTGTGATTGAATCAGCATTGAGAAACTTGTTTTTTGTTAGTGTAATCTTGGGAAAATGCTCGTTTTTCACGGTGTATAACATTATTTTTGTTATATAGAAATTGAAGACTCTTATCCAGCTTCATTTACCTTTTTCACAGTATCGCCCGGTCCAGCCAGGCAGGCAAGAGCACTGGTTTGGTTTCGAACAGGTCCCTCCATTTTTACAAGAAGATGAACAAGTTGCTAAAGAAAGTGTTAAACGAGTATATTTCAAATAAGTAAATATATTACTAAATTACTAAAATACGGTTACTAGTTTCTCCTTACGGAACATTTGATATTTCTGTTACATGTTAATATGTTACACAGAAAAATGTAATACGTCTTAGTTGTTTGACTAGCAACTTCTCGATAATAAGGTACAAAAAGATGTCTACGTATAGCCATCCGTAATTTTGAACTGATAAACTAAAGGGAAGGCATTGAGTCAATAGCACCCGCCTCCAACTCTTATTTGATCGAATTGTAGGATATGACTATCATTATTATTGCGCTCCTACAGCCTCAAAGTGCGGAGGGAGTTTTTTTTTTTTTTTCAGCAACAGGATGCGAACTATGAACGTTCGTATTCACAACAAGTTAGTCGTTAAGTCACAACCGGTCCACCCTCACAGCGTCATCTAGTGATGCTTAGTACAGTTAACCGTATTTTCACAAGTAACCTCATCTGCACTGACTTATTGCTCTGACGATATCTATTTATATTGAGATATTACTTCGTGGTCCCCAAGTCATCTGTTTCTAACAGGATAACAAACTTCTATAAAAAAAAACACATCAAAACACAAACAAACCAGACAGAACACATAATGGGATAAGTAAGAAATAGCACGATGTTTATATGACTACTCCTGTCTATTCACAGTATAATTTACAAACAGAAACAGAACATATTATTATTTCGGGTTTTATACGTTTGATTTACTTATCACACACACACAAAATCACTGTGAAGGGGCTGTTTAAATCGTGTTACCAGACGTTCATCTCGTTCAGGTTTATTTGAAAATGTTATTCTATACGAATATCACAGACAGGGACGTTTCTAAGCATTGACTCACAAAGTTATAGTCCCTACTGATAAAACGTTAAAGCAAATAACTAGAAAACATTTTATTGAGTTTCTAAGCACTGCGTACTGAATGTTTAACGAGATGCTTGCAAAAAACAAAACAAAAAACATCATGTTTTTATAGGCATGCGGGAGAGAATCTCTTTATCAAGCCCCTACAGTGCTAAAGTTTACCGACAGTCTCTCACTAAAGTTAATTGCTTCCTAGGCATAAGCCGTCCTGAATGTTTAACGAGATGCTTGCAAAAAAACAAACAAAAAAGCATCATGTTTTTATAGGCATGCGGGAGAGAATCTCTTTATCAAGCCCCTACAGTGCTAAGGTTTACCGACAGTCTCTCACTAAAATTAATTGCTTCCTAGGCCTAAGCCGTCGTGAATTCTTCCTTCCTATATCCAGAAAGGCTCCTGAAAGTAGTTGAACCATTTTGTGCAATTTTCAATTTCTGTTTTTATTTAATAAAAACTCAGTGTTTTTTGTTGTTGTTCCAAAGACAGAATAAACAATTTCAGAAATTATCTACAAACACATGTTTATAATATATAAATAAGACGATTCAATAAATAAATATATTTTTACCTTCCATACATCCGTGTGCAGCGGGGTTTCTGCGAGTCCATCCTGGACAACATTCGTAAGTTGTTTCAGTGAGGGGAATGGACTTGTAAACAGTACGATATGCAATTTCATAAATTAGACTGAAATAAAAAAGGTTATACTCAAAAAAAGTGTAGACTTGTAGATGGTACGATGTAGGTTCATAAACTAGAATGAAACAGAACCAAATACTCAGAAGTTTACACTGAAATAAAAAGGATTACTCCAAATAATGAATTAATCTGTTCAAATTCCTATTTGAAGCTGTTAACCTTATAATATCGACATTACTAATAATAATCGACATTCCTATAATGCGGGCATGTTTAATTCAAAACTTTCTTAGCAGGTAATTGACAGTTCCTTTGGTCAAAGCAATATTCTCATCAATTTCGTTACAATTCTTGCACTCTTTAATTAATAAAATCAAAATGACAGTATGGAGATAAACAGCGAAACTGATTGAAAATAATGTTGAAACAAAATACCAGTAATTTATGATGCATATTTCAGAATTCATTCATTAGGTTTACAGTTTCGTTTTTTAAAATAAACTCTGTAAAATAATAATAATAAAGATGGCGCGCGTAAAATGCAATATTCTGTAATGTTTGTATAATTTAATGACTAATAAGTCCCTTGTTGCCCTTACATTATATGTATCTGTTAGGTATTTATCCCAGCAACATGTAGATATGTAATATAAGAATTAATAAAGTAGCGAGAGGCTTAGCTGCTCTGCTACAATAAACAATGTTTTTAAGTCACTGTTGTGGGAAGTTAAAATCAATTTATCACAAAGTCTACAGGTCTATAAGTTAGAAATTAACAGCAACGCACTTTTCTAACAGAGATATTTTTAAAAGTAAATAATCAACCAACTTTTCTCTTTCTCTGAAATAGAATATATATGTACATATCTTGTAACATTTCGACAACAGAAAACAATTGTTATGGTGTTCGATTAGAACATATTCTGTGACATGCGCGCAGGAGCTTATTTTGGTACATGCGCGCACAGGTGCGTAATTTGGTACACATATACAAGAATAAGCACCTGCATGTTCATGTATCAAAAAGTGGTATTCTGTGATATCAGTATTGTAATCTATGATTTTTTGGTTATTCAACTGTATACGTAAAACTTAAAAAAAGTATTTCGTTTCATATCCTTCTCGTGCGAAATTTTAAAAGGCTTAGCAACCTACGTCAAGCATCAACTGAGTACAAAGATCGTAACTAGAAGAGATAATTGTTTACTTCTATGTTTTAAGAAAAATATGTTTAATAACTTATTTCTAAAAAATAATAATCTATAAACATATATGAAGTATAATAATTGAAATGTTACTGTATTTTACTAAATATTAGTCCACTAAAACACAGCCAAGACAGGGTCACTTTGTAAAGAGTAACGGTCAATTTTATATTATTGGATACGGTAACATGAGTGCATGTGCGCTGCGTCATTATACAACTTCTGTAATGTTATACCTTGTAGGTTTTAAGTAGAATATTCTGTTTATTAGACGAGAAAGAGACATTATATAAACTACATTGGTGAAAGGCATAATTAGTGCTAAATTTTAAGTAAAATATTGTGTTTATTAGAGATAAGGGGGACATTTTAAAGTTCCATTGATGAAAGGCATGATTTCTATTAGACTTTAAGTATAATATTCTGTTTATTAGACGTATTTTTATATGTTACAATCCCTTCATTAGAACGCTGTTTTCAACGGAAATTTACTTTTTTCTGTACCTTTCCCGTAAAATTATTGACATAATGAAAAACTTGTAAAAGTTGCAAAAACGTAGGAGTGAAAACAGATCATTTAAGGAACTAGAAGTGAAATCAGGAGTTGGTTATTGTACCATTGGCTTCGAATCGTGTTTATTGAAGCATATAAATTTAGATATTTCAAACATTAAATAAGTACTTCTTATCGTGAAGTTCTTGCTATTAACAATTGGTTACGTTAAGTGCTGCCATCTGGGAAATTGCCATAGTACTAATACATTGATTATTGCCGTTTTAATTGCTTCAATTATTCAATTATTCAATTTTTGGTGTCAATGTCTGCGTTTATTCAAACTTGGCCAGATTGTTCTTATAAGAAGATTAGTAACTAATCTAAAATCTGAATAACTTAGGTGGGTTACCGTTCATGTAACTTGTCAGAATATTGTGAGTTTAACAACAGCCTTGTTTTGATACGCTACGATGTGCATATTCTATCTCGTTTGACTTCAGAGGCCCAATTGTAACTTACAGATATCATGTGCATATCCTGTCAGGGTTGTCCTCATAGACACACCTGTAACTTACCGATACAATGTGCATATTCTGTCAAGATTGTCTTCAGAGGCACACCTATAACTTACTAATACAATGTGCATAACTTGTAAGTGTTGTTTTTCCAGACACACCTGTAACTTACCGATACGATGTGCATGTCCTGTCTCGGTTGACTTCAAAGGCACACGTGTAACTTACCGATACCATGTGCATATCCTGTCAGGACTGTCTTCAGAAACACACCTGTAAGTTATCGATACGATGTGCATATCCTGTCAAGATTGTCTTCATAGACACACCTATAACTTATCGATACGATGTGCATATTCTGTCAGGCTTGTCTTCAGAGGCATACTTGTAACTTACCGATACGATGTGCATATTTTGTCGGGGTTGTCTTCACAGGCGCGTCTGTAACTTTTGTAGGCAGGCTTACTGTAGGATTCGCGCTGCCTCGAAGGAGTGTTGACTACACTGTTGCGGGCACACACGTGTCGCCTAAAAAGAAGTGTTAATAAGTCTACATTCTCGAAAATCAAAAACACAGGGTTGAAAATAATATACAAATAAATACTTTAATGCAAAAAACATTTCAACGAGTATACTTGCTTGCTTTGTTATCAGTCTTCCTCTCTTTATGTAATGACTGAAAGAAGAACTGTTCGCTATGTAGTCAACATTTCTATTTACCTTCGTGTTTTGAGTGTAAAGAACTGTTAAATACATAGTCAACATTTCTATTTACCTTCGTGTTTTGAGTGTAAAGAACTGTTAAATACATAGTCAACATTTCTATTTATCTTCCTATTTTAAGTGTAAAGAACTGTTAAATACATAGTCAACATTTCTATTTATCTTCCTATTTTAAGTGTAAAGAACTGTTAAATACATAGTCAACATTTCTATTTATCTTCCTATTTTAAGTGTAAAGAACTGTTAAATACATAGTCAACATTTCTATTTATCTTCCTATTTTAAGTGTAAAGAACTGTTAAATACATATTTCATATTTATCTCCGTCTCTTTATGTACTGCCTGGAAAAGGACAGTCAAATATTTAAAATACCTAAATAACATTTCTATTTCTCTATCCCTTTATTTGCTGACTAGGAAAACACTATTAAATACACAGTCAGCATTTATTTTTATCTCTCTCTCTCTTTATGTACTGGCTGGTAAAGAACTGTCGAAAACGTAGTGAACATTTTTATTTATATTTTTCTCGTTATATACTGGCTGGCAAAACACCTTTCTTAAATAGTTAGTCAGCATCTGAATACAGATGTGTAAGCAGATAACAACCTGTTTATCAATCAGATGTTAGTTCCAAAAGAAGACATTTTTTTGCTCATTGTGTTCCCACAATTGTCCAATTAATTTTATAACTTGTTGTTGGAGGTTTTTAAGAAAAGGGAAAGATAACATTTTGATACGCATATCAACTTCTATATTTTAAAACTTAACCAACCTTTTATGCAATGAAATGAGTACCTTGTGGAACTCTATTCAGTTGTTGTTTTTTCTAATATAATTACTTCACTGCTGATTTGCGTTACAAACAGCACTTTATCTTGAAAAGACAAGTCACAGTTAGTCGTCGACAACATGCCGAAGGAAATAAATGAAATTTCTAATTAGAGTTTCTACTGACCGCCATAGTTTCTATGATTTAGAGTAGGCCATAAATTAGTACTTTATAGGAGTGACAAGTAGAAAGAAAGGTATGTCTTGAAGTTAAAAGAGGACATAAGCACGAAAAATAAAACTTCGTTCCTTTGTCTACCCTTTTTGGCATACAAAAAACTATGCATTATCTTCTAACACTTGGTATTTTAGAGGCAAAGTGTTCCTTTCTTATTCCTTAACGTAAAAAGTTGGAAGTTTTATGTTGCGTGAGTTTAGTTGCAAGCATACGAAAAATAATAATAATAAAATAAAATTTAATGTATTAGTCACGCAATTTATTACATGAGCTGCTATCATATGTGAGATAAAGTATAATCATATATATATGACGTGGCGCAACATGCTTAGAAGGACTTCAATTACCGTTAAAATTGTAGTAAAATCATGAAAAACTGTATTTAATTTCAAATGTCACGTGGAACACAATTGTCTTTTGTCAGAACAGGCGCTTATACGGATTTTTCGGAAATGTTAAAAGTGATTCCAAAGTACATGGACTGGTGTTTCATGACTTGAAGGAGCGTATGACATTTGTTACAAAAGTAAAAAATAAACTTATCGATCTTCCTGTGTACGGTCAATGGTGTAAAATTTTTGAGTCTCATATCTAGTCTAACAAAGAAGCCATCTTATTCACAGCAAGCATATTAAGGGCGATCTCCCCGAAGTCTTGCTCATCTTATTATTCCTTCCCCAAACTGTTACGTTGAGGGATAAATACAACAGTGATCCCACTAAACCTTGCTTTTAACTTCTTCCCCAAATGGTAAATACAACAACTATCTCCCCTGACCCGCTTATAATCTATTACAATAATAATAATGTTTTATTGGGGGGGGGGGTAAAAATAACAGTGACCTCCAACAATGTTTTTTAGAAAAGCAAATAGATTGATCTCCCTCCACCCCCACTTTGTATATATTTGTGTGTATATGGATGCGTCAACATTTCCTCAAACTGTATGTTTCTGAAAAAGTAAAAGAATTAAAAACTTTGCTGCGTTTCATTGCTTCCACAGAGTTCTTTGTTATATCAGCTTAAAAAAAAAGATAGGAATGCTCGTGCATGTGGCTCATATGTACAGCAAGTAACAAATAAAAACAACAAGAAGCTAACGCACTCACAGGTTAGAAAAGCTTTGAGTTTTACACAGTTTAAGTGAGCCATTAAAAAAAAAGGGGGGGAAACAGATTTCAATGTTTAATATATATATATATATATATATATATCTAGGTCTTTCAGTACCAAGCACCAGCTTGAAAATTTTTATCTTGTATTGCTAGTGGAGAACCCGAAGTTACAACAAGTTTTTGCAGTGGATTGTTTGTGACTCTTTAACAAATAAGATAGATTTATCTCCACCACATAATAGACGTTTTCGTGAATATGTCAATGCCCTCTTTTAGGTTTCCATGAAAATAATTAGAAGTTGTCCTCTTGTTTGACAGCGATAAATGTCATTAGTTTAATTTTGTTAAACCGGACCACACTAACGATTACAGATGACACAACATATATTGTTTATGTACACGTGAACCCCAGGGATAAAATGAGAGGAGGATAAATTATAAGTTAAATAATAATACACGGGGGTGGGGGGCAATTTGCTAAGAAGTACAATTTCTTCGTTATTTGTTTGTTGAAAGTTTTCTTAATTATAAATACGACGGAGAGGTTAACATTCCCTCATCTTCTTTTACAACCCAGCAGGGTTGTATGACATTAAATGTGATGAACTTGCTAAGATCGTCTATTTTCAGCACATTACTAAGAAACATGGCTGCAAATACAGTAGATATCCGAGGGAAACAAATATTAAAAACTGATATAAGTTTTAAGGGTTTATGAAACGAAAACCATTTTATGGTCATTGATATGTATTGTAACGTACATTATGATTCCAATTTAATATTTTATTTCTGAAAATATTAATTAGTATACAGTCATTGAGTGCCATATGTAAGTTCTTGCTGGACCTAAAGTCCGTTAACAATTTTACAACTCAGTAAATAAATCTATCGTTCGTCGAACTCAGTTTTACCGCGAATAGGTCAGAATAGGTTATCGTGGACTACATAAAAGGTTATAAAACCATAAAATCGTGATGAATTTATTAGGACTAATAAAAAACTCGTTTCCGTCATTGGATATCCTATTCAACCAACACTTTATGACCAATCATAACACTTGACACTTAATAAATTACGGTCAAACTTCTTGTTTCGAGTTCTCTAAGACACTAATTTTTCTGGTTGTTCATAAACCGGTTACCTACGAAGTTCATTTCACTTGGACAGGTGGAGAGATATTCAGTTCATCCAAGTTACGAACTTTTCTAAGCAACCTGTAGACAACTATCGCATAAACAATTTTACATTATTAAGATAGTGAAAATTTGAAGCTTTGCTGTAGAGTTTTATTAACCCTACAATACACAAATAAAGGATGATTTTTGTTCAGATGTTATATGATTATTGATACCAAGATAAGCATGAATATTTTAAATTATCATCTTAAGAATAAATACTTCAAGGCTTTGCGTCATTAGGAGAACAATAAAATTCCAAAGTTTTACAACATCATAATAGTAACAATAAAAAATGTCGAGGGTTTCTACTATTGTGATAACAACAAAATTGCCAAGGCTTTACACCAGTATATCTCAACCTTTTTTTGCTCGTGGCTCCCTTTTGCGTTTGATTTATCTCTGTGGCCCCACCCTTCGTAGACGCTGTTACTTAGGAAAAGTTACTTTATTTCCACACTGTTAATTTATAGTATATTTATAACCTATACTATTATTCTGCTTGTTTGTATGTACGACCGTTACTCTTTCTGACCGAGAACCTGCTGCATAAGTATGCGTAGTTAGAATGTTCCCCATGAAAAACCGCGCATGCGCATTATTCACTCGACGACAAACAGTCTGCCTGCGGCAGAGAGCTGCATAGCTCAGTGAACAAATCGTTACAATTGCTGTATGAAACAAGTAGTAACAACAAAAGAGGAATGTAAATATACTTTACTAACCATCTTGTACAACAAAATATTAAAACTTATCAAAGTTTTTAAAAAAGGTTTAACGTTAGGTCGTGGAATAACATTATAAGTTTATTTATCGATAGTATTAAGTACAGTAAAGTTTATTCCTAACTAGACTAAAGTTAAAAAAAAAACGTACACAGGTTACAGTGTTAATTTATCTCTTTATAGAACTTAGGCCTAACATAAGTTAAAGTTTTATAAAGTACGGCCTATATACAAGTGGATTTACACATTTCGTTGTCTACGATTACAATTCGTTTGTATTGTGCTATAAATGTTATATTTAAAGAAGTACTGTTACGATAAAGATACTAATTAGTCCGGAAATGCTTTTCGGGTCTCTGCTAGTATTATAATGTTATTTTTCAATATTGTATTGTTTTTAAATATTTTGTTTATAACATACTGTTTATTTATACAAATAAAAAATATTCTGTTGATCATTGACATTTTATTCAGTGTGATCCTTGGGCCTGATGAACACTTGAAAATTTTTGAATGTCCTGTTGCAGTGTGGTCAGTGATAATCGAGGATCACGAATCTTCCCAACATCAAGGCGGTTGCGTATTTTTGATAGCAAATAAGCCTCCCGACGAAAACTAGCTTCAACCAGATAAGAAGTGGGAAAAGCGATAAAATACAACTTTGCCTTCTCCTAGAGCTGAGGAAACTTATTAGCTATTTCACTACTTATCCAGAAATAATGTTTGTCACGTTTGAATCTAGCTTGTGTTGTTAAAATAATTTATTCGAGCAGTGAAGTTTC